ACAGATTTGCTTACGTACTCACGTTGTAGTTCTTGAAACTAGCTTTAGATATTAAACTTTTAACATTATTTAACAGAACCCCATGAATTTCATGCTTACCGGTATAATTTTAAACACATGTGATTTTGTAAGCATTTTAGAAACAAATTTCTTACTAATTCAGAAATGGGCACCATAATCGTGTCGTACAAACAACGCAAATTACTAATGGGTGCATTAAAAAATCTGAGAAGAAACATGTCTGAATACTCATGGGAATTCAGAAGTGTTACGTTTTGTCTGTATCTATGCATCGATATGCTATTAATATTAGTCGTCACAAACACTGGTGATCTGTTCGACGGGGATAATCCAATAGTTATACATACCAGTTTAACAGTATCAGTTGTATTCAATAATTATGCCAAGTCAAACACGAGTTTAAACTCGCGTCGTGTTTTGACAGGTAGATATACACTGCAGACCCGCATGGAAACTGTACTTACCACGAATATTGCTTAGGTTTTGGAGGTTCATCTTCCTCTTCAAGAGGCTGTCTGCTACCAAATCGGGAAAAAATGCACCCCATGACTAAGTAGATGCATTCGGTTATCCCGATAGTGTGTAGTTTCAAAGCAAGCAGCCAAATCTCTTGCGACTCTCGGCTTACCCACTTTCTTACCACAACAAACTGACTGCTATTCAGCATCACAGCTGTACCGTGCTCGCCGGTTTTACTGCATTCTGATTGGTTGAAATAATACCGTACCAGCTGATTTTGCCAGCACCTGTTCTTTTTTGAAGTCATGCATGCATTCCTGTATTAGACTTTAATCTGCTCATTTCAGTGGAGTCTAGAGCACCATACTTAATGAATAATTGGATCCATAGGGTTAACGTTTCAGCGCTACATGGGCAAATTCACGTGAGGGTCACTCTATTTTTCTGTTGTCGACGTGAGAATCGTACTTAAAAAACAAAACGATTCTTCAAGGAGAGGTTAGGAGTGCAACTAATGTGATGATAGTGGTGACAAAATAGAAAGTTATTTGTTTTAGAGATCGAATAGTAGTCCGACTCAAGTTTGACTCAAGTAATGATAAAAAAAACAACCGTGTGTGTGCGTGCGTATGTGTTGTGTCTTTTACATCTCGGATAGCACTTGAATTTTTCTTTTTACTTTTTGACCATGTACTTAAATTTGCTCTCTACTTAGAACGTCTGATCCCAAGTATAACATAAGGTACATATGATCAGTTTCTGAACGTCATTGGCTATTCATATATGATAGATGTTAATAATTGATCTAACCACACGAAGAGCGAAAATAATAATAATATCAACCGCACTTATTTTAATGCTCATATCTAAACTGTTATTGGGCGTTAAAATGTCGAAAAGGCCAGCAAAAACCTTATAATTGGTTTGGACCATTAGGATTTTTTTCGATGTTCATTTTGACGTGTGATATTATTAATATTAACTTTCACAATAACGAATTGCCTAGGCGATGCCGCTTCTGTGTTAGAGTTGTGACCAAATGAAAAAAAAGCAACATTGTCTGTTGGGAGAGTCGGACAAATCATTGAATATATATCTAACTGCTCTGAACGAAATATGAACATTCTGTAGTTGCACTGTTAAAATCAGTATTTAATTTCCAGGTAACAGTGAGTGATGAAGATCTGATCTATCATGGCGAGTGGACCATCTTAACATGGGCGGAAGCCCGAAGTTATCTCAGACGTTTGCAACTGTAATTTAATCCAACAAGCATGGGTATAGAGCTGACATACCAAAGCTCGTAATCGATACAAATTTAGGATTCGACCACCGTCAACGGATCCCGGTACAACTACAGGACAAATTCCTTTGGTTTGTTGTTTAACGCCACTCAGCAATATTCCAGCTATATGGCGGCTGTCTGTCAATAATAGCCTGGAACAGTTCAGTTATTAACAGCATGAATACGATCTACGCAATTGGGATACGATGACATGTGTCAACCATTTCAGCGAGCCTGACCACCCGATCCCATTAGTCTCCTCTTACGACAAGAATGGCTGGCGGAAGACCAATTCTAAACCGGATCTTCACGAGTGGACACAATTCTTTTACCCACAGAATGGTTTGTCGAACAAATGTAACGATTTCTCAAAATGAGATTAAGAACAGTTTGTTTTAAAAATGGGGGCAAGTTTATTTATGTGTTGCCCTTTTTACATGTTTTCTTGATGACTTTGATTTCATAACTTATTATTGGGACTTAGGACATGTGGAAGACCCAGTGTGCCTCGTGGAAATGACACCATTACTGTGTCACTCGGTGAAATAAACACATGTTATCTGCAGTGTAGGAAAGATAGCCCGTCCCAACGTCCGAGACGGGTGAATTTTGTGGAGGACGGGTTAAAAAAATATCTAGTCCGTCCTCATGTCTGGTCAATTTTAGCAAACCAATGACATATATATAATTAATATAACCTTTTTGAATATTTACTGCCGAATGTGTTTTATTTATATTTGGAGGACAGGCTAGATTTTGGCAGGACTGGTTAAAAATTTGACCTGCCAGTCCTGTGGAGAGGCTAGAATTTCTACATCTTTCCTACACTGTTATCTGTCATGTCCTCTATTATATTCCCACAATCACAGACTGAAATTAACATCACAGAAGAACCACACGCAAGCACTTACCCATTGTAAAGCCAGGATAAATGTGATTATGTGTTGCCTCTGTTTGTGTCATTCCTGTATCCCATCCGAGAAAACGGTAAATTATGGCATCATTAATTCCATCCTTGGCCACACATGTATTTATGTAACAGGCTGTATATTTGCCAAGATGTCACCACAATATCATAAGTCACATATACAGACGGGCTTAAGGACGTATGAACCCATGTATGACTGTAGCTACAAATGAAGCCAACAATATATTGTTACTGGATGGTGATTTATGTGATTCGGTTATCATGAATAGCTGTGTTTTACACTTTACGCGTTGGCAGTCGGTCGGCGACTGATTTTGGCCTTGTAACGCTTGGATAATACTTAATAATTACTAGTTCCTTTTTTTAAATGTATCTTTTCTTTTGTCCGGTAGTTTATGCTATTTCGTGTATTCAGAAACATGGTTTTTCGTTATTTCGGGTAGAAATTGGTCTCCAGCAACCCATGCTTGTCGTTAGAGGCGACTAACGTTGACCAGGTGGTTAGGCAAGCTGACTTGGTTGACACATGTCATCGTATCCAAGCTGCGTAGATAGATGCTCATGCTGTTGATAACTTGATTGTCTGTCACCAGAAATGGCCTGCACACATTAAACCCATGTGGGGAATCGCACCCGGGCCTTCGACATGACAAGCGAACGCTTTAGCCACTCGGCTACCCCACCGCTAGACTAAGGCTTAGTCTCTGAATATATATAAGTTTGATAGTAACAAACAAGCCCATTTAAATTGAAAAGGAGCCCTAAGGAGACCAGAGATTCAGAACCTCAGGAAATCTAGACTTGCTTTGTTTAGGGCTTTAGCACTACAGGGAAGGCTAGGCTGTAGGGACATAATGTGGTTCAGGGACTGTGAGACAGACTACCCCACCGCCCCCTTGACGTTTAAAGAATGTGGATGTAGATTTACATAACTTATAAACATAAAGGCATATAAAGATGAAAGTTAATCATTAAAATATCTCCTGGCACAGTTGGCGCACTGACGACACACAACAAAAGTATTATGAAATAATGTAGGGTCACAGCTTGACCGGCCCTTTCATTCTACCGCTCCGCCATTTGTCATTATGGATTACTGATTGACGCCTCGGGCCCATCCCAGCTGCTTTGCAGATAAGTCAGCGATAAATATCCGTCCAGTTAAGACCTGTACTGTAGAATATTTATTAAATGTATTAGCCAATCAGTATGCAACGTGTTACATTCTAACGTCCACAATGGCATCTTACTTCTGTTATGTAAATTATCAGCATGTATATGAAACTGTATGTTTGTATGCCACCGGTGTGGTAGAGTAAGGGAGTTTAGTTTTACGCAGCTTTTAGCAACAGTCCAGCAATATCACGGCGGGAGACACCAGAAATGGGTTTCACACATTGTACCCATGGGGGGAATCGAACCCGGGCGAGTCTTCGGCGTGACGAGCGAACGCTTTAACCACTAGGCTACCCCACCTCCCCAGGTGTGGTAGAGACTCACGGGACTTGGGGACACTATACATATATTTCGGGACTCCGGCCGCGCTCTTGAAGGCTCTACGTACAGTGAGATGTCTCACGTTCGATTCCATATTCTCACAGTCTGTGACCTTTTTACGTTAGTATATTGACTAGAGTATACGTAGGCTAAATACTGGCAAAAGTAATAGTACAGAAATCTTCAAAATATATACATACAGTCTGTTTGGGTCAAAATGATACCGATGAATCACAATCTAACTCCAAATCGGTTCATGAGGAAACATTCATTTCAACGCAGAATGTCAGGAAAACATCAGACCAACTCTGGAAAAAAAGATCCATAACCTTTGTCTCCAAAATATAAACGTTACTTAACAAACTATCATCTTTTAATTTGTTTTGATTTTCCATGTGAGGTTTTACACACGGAAAATCAAAACAAAATTATGATAACTTTTAACATTTCTGTTAAATGAGGCCTACACCCTAAGCATAGTGACACTGTTTGTTTTACGTATATATTTAACATTTAATAAAGAAATGAATACATGTGGATTGTCAAATTAAATTGTTTTAAAAACTTGATAAAAGGAGCACAGGTAGTCTCTATAATAAAAATGACGAAATCTATAAACATGCAAAGAACTAATCATAGTTTTGTTTCATCTACAACAGTAATAGGTTTTAAGGAGAAACTACATTACCTGTTGAAAAACAGTACAACAGAAATGTTTCATATGAACAAATATGTGTGGAAACACAACGACAACACACAAACATGTCATATCATTTATTAAGATTTCATATTAATTCCGGCTTAGGTTTTGCCGGCAAGGAACTCTCCTCCATAGATCTTTTATATGGTTCTGGCGTGTCGGCATAACAACATGGCCGTCCAGACCGGTGGGCAATAAATGTTGGCGGCGGACCGACAGTCGTCGCACACGTGGTTGTTAGGGTCTGTCGGCGAGGGGATCAGGTCGTCCAGATGATAAGGCATGCACGAGGGAGGCTGGCCTGGGACAACATAAACTCCCCTGACGAGGAGGTCATCATTGGGAACTTTGTCAGGGTCTGAAACATGAAATTATGACGCAATTGGTATACTGTTGCATGTTTGAGGATTGGTTGGTTGGTTGGTTAACGCCGCACTCGGCAATATTCCAGGTTTATGGCGGCGGTCGGTAAATCATCGAGTCTGGACAAGACAGTCTAGTGATTAACAGCATAAGCATCAATCTACGCAATTGGGACACGATGACATGTGTCAACCAAGTCAGCAAGCCTGACCACCCGATCCCGTTAGTCCCCTATTACGACAAGCATGGGTTACTATAAAGACCAATTTAACCCGGATCGTCACGGGACACATGTTAGAGAAGATAGCTGATGTCTATCTTTTTTCTCTTCACCAAAAACAAAAAGTACACAAGGGGGTGGCATAGGAAACATTTAAAAGTGTGATTTTACACATCCACGTGGAGAATTGGCTCCCAATACCTTTATAAACCTTTTGTGTTTGTTCCATTTAAATTTTGTTGTAATTATTTTCTGTTTGATTTTGCTTCTTGTTTGTGTTTGTATTGTTATCTAGTTTGGTGAGGGGATGGCGTTGGTTATTTTATAAATTGAAAACCGAAAAACGTACATATTGATAAAAGCAAACCTGCTAGCTAAAAAATAAAAGCTGGGTACCTACCACGTAATGCCATCAGTTTCTTGATTTCGTGGGTTGCCATGGCCAAGAAGGGTAAGAGGAGCATCTTGGTTGTTGAAAACAATAATCCCTGGAACAAAATAGGGGAAAACTTGAAGAGGTGTAATTGTCTTAGTAGTGAACAAGAACTACAATGTTAAAGGATTTTCAAAAGGTCACTACACATTCTGTTATGAATCTAAAACGCACGTCCCTCGAAAGCATTTCGCATAATTTTCCTGATAGGAGCAGTTCAGTGAGCTTGGACTAACAACTACAAACTTATATGCTTTGTATTGACATGAAAATAGACTTTGGGCTATTTTTGTAATAAATTATATTTATTATTTACCATTTCTTTTCTAATTCATTTGTCCTGTTTGTAAAAGCAACTATTATGACTTTGCTTACCTTCGAAAGAAAAGACGTGTATTCAGATTTCCCACTTCTGACGACATCGATTGTCTTGGCTTGGACTGTGACGTAATAAACAACGCGACTTGACTGCGACAGCATAATGAGGGTCACGTGATTTAAACACCACTCCAACTTCGTGTATGTAGGCTATGTGATCGCTCGTGCGTCGAGGGTGAGATACATTTCTAAACGTGAATGTGAATATTATTCCGATCTACGATATGATTTTCTACAGACCGCTTTTCCAGCATTTATTTCCTTAAGAAACTTAACCTCAGAGGAACAATTTATATACATTTTTTATGCAAAATGGTAGTTTGGCCATTTCCCTAGCCGCATTTGTTACTGCTATGTGTAAGCGGAGAATGTTTCAATGAGTAGTCAAACTGGGAGTAGTCATAATGGGAAGATACCGTTTCAATTTGCATTGCAATGGTGCGCTTCTGACGCTTGTCACTGACTATATGGATTTGTTTGTTTTTTAAATCTTTTCATCCACAAAATTCAAAGCTTGATTCAGAATTGGGTTATGCATTTAAGGGGAATCAAAATCTCCAGGGCCTAGATTTTCGAAGATCTCTTAGCGCTAAGATAGTCGTATGTGCCATAGATTAACATTAACTTACGACTATTTTAGCGCTAAGAGAGCTTCGAATATCTAGGCCCAGGCTTTTACTCATCAACGGGTGTCAATTAGCGTCAGCCACCCAACAAATAACGTTTCGGACGAGCAGGGGAATGAATCATTGAAAACCTGGGGAATCACTTTCAATTCTCATATTTCGTCGGATTATGCTTACAAAACCATTTCCCCCTTGCAAATACGTGTATGTGTCACCTTGCAAATTCGTATATATGTGTGTAAATGTGTATGGACAGTTATGTAATCCATGGATACATGACATGTTTGATGGATAACAACTTCTTTTTATTCGTTAGTGTTATTTGTATGATACGAAAATAATACGTATAATCGCTGTATACTGAAGTACAAAGTTCTTGAAAGGCTTTAAGAAGTTGGACGAACATGAATACATGACACGCTTCTTTTTATTCATTATCACGATGTTTCTGAGATAATTCTTGCTCCTTCATCAGGTGAGTCACGAGCAACGAGCAAGAATTAGCTCTGAAACGTCGTGATAACGAATAAAAAGAAGATAGTCGTAAGTGCCATAGCTGAATTCTCTAAAGGGATACTGTGTACCTTTTTCAATGTGCATAATTTTGATGTTCGTCGTAAGCTTCACATTTTAGTTTTGTATACATTAATCAACAATAAAAACATACGTCAGTTTAGCTGTACCTCTCTAGTGTATATCCTTTGTTATGGAAGACACTGTAGGGGTGAAACGGTATATATACCGAACCGAAGGCAAAATACGGTTCGGTATACCGCAATGCAATCCAAAAAATCTGTATTTTCGGTTTTCGTACCGTCATTTCATAAACCTTTTTAAACCTTTTCTAAAATGTTTAGAAATTGAATCATTTGTCAAAATCTATGCGTTTCTGTTCTTTTCTGCATTATGATCATATCTCATATATCGAACCGAAACGGACCGAACCGGAGGCCTTGTATCGCAATCTGTACCGTACCGTGTAAGAGAATATACCGTTTCAACCATAGAAGACAGCTTCTCATTCTATGTATACGATCCTCCGATAGGTGTCGCTCAGCGCAGCGAGAATAACGCTGAACACAAGTAAAACCTGTCGAAAATATAATCCATAATCAGCCATTCGTATTCCGCGAAGGAACAACCGACTCATATTTAAAGATGGGGTTTTGTTTCCCTTTAAGGAACGCTGTTAACAGCGATGATTCCAGGGTATGCATTGTAGTAGACGAATGAGTAGGCTTATGGTTTGGCCACGATTTTAGCAATATCACGACCATATTGCGGCTCGGGAGACCGGAAATGTGCTCTGTACATTATAGAGAGTGAGTGACTTTAATTTTACGCCCTCCCCACTATGTATAGGTGATGACGTCAGTGAACTTAAATAGATACACGGTTAACATGGTTACCTCTCGGTAAACAAACTGCCTTACTTCCTCTAATCAGCGCCCTCATATCCGCACGCGTAGACCCTGTGTGATTCAGCAATATTCCAGCTATATGGCGGCAGTCTGTAAATAATCGAGTCTGGACCTGACAATCCATTGATCAACAGCATGAGCATCCATCTGCGCAATTGGGAACCGATGACATGTGTCAACCAAGCCAGCAAGCCTGACCACCCGATCCCGTTAGTCGCCTTTTACGACAAGCATGGGTTACTGAAGATCAATATTCTAACCCGGACCTTCACGGAACTATGTACATTATAACAATGTGGGAAATCGAACGAGTCATATTTTTCAGAACAGCCTCTTGGCTAAATAGCTCCATTTATTTTACATGAGAATATACATCCCAAGCATTCATCCATCACTTGTCGTGATACTCGATGCTCATTCTGTCAACCACTGGTCTGTGTTGTCAAGGCTCGATTACTTACAGACTCAGTTCGCCAAGGCCATACCCATTTGATTTACCAAAGTGGTAAAATCTTGCCATTCATCAAACGTGAAGGTAACATGCTGTGGTGAAATTATAGAAACATTGATTATAATGCGATTAGGGGCGATGGGGGTACCTTATTGATTAAAGTGTTCGCTCGTCACGCCGAAGACCCGGGTTCGATTCCCCGTGTGGGTACAACGTGTGGAGTCCATTTCTGGTGTCCCCCGTCGTTTTATTGCTGGAATATTGCTAAAAGCGATGTAAAAACCATTTTCATTCACTCACTCACTATTGCGCGATGAAAGGTTTTGCATGGTCAGTCACTCAGTCCCACAAGGGCGTGTCACGCTTAGAAACAGCGTTAGAAAGACATATAGGTATATAGACCCTACCCTAGTACTATATAAAAGATTCCTTTTATATAGTACTAGGGTAGGGTCTATATACCTATATGTCCTTCTAACGCTGTTTCTAAGCGTAACACGCCCCTGTGCTCAGTCCAGCAAGGACTTAGGGCCAGAATAGGTGTCCTTGACCCCAGTGCCTGTCTCACGAGATGTAGATGGTCACTAAATGTGACAGGGTTGATCGTTTGTCATAGGACTCCCCGAATCGTCAATCATGACGTCAACCTCTAGGTTGCCTGGTCCGGACTCGATTATTTAAATGCTGTCGCGACGTAGCCTAAATATTGTCGACTGCAGCGTCAAACGACTTTCGGACACTAACGAAATGTCGGAACTTTGCTTTGTCATGTGTCACCAGGGGCTTGAATTATCGATGCCCAAAACATTGATCGTTTCTCGGGGTTGACAAGGTCAGCAAGAAACGAATTAATTTAGAAAAAGAAAACATAAAAATGACATGCATTGACTTTATTTTTTTCTCAATGATGTCGGTATCACCTTGTCCCATCTAACGTGACAGTTGAGATAACCGTAGTTCCTCTAATAAGCACTAGCGTCCAGATTTATACAGACGATATGTAACAAAATACATGTATGTGCTGTTTTAGGTGTGCTCGCGTTGCCTGCTAAATTAGATGCATGGTTGAGTGTACTTAGAGGCAACATGGGTGTATGAACCATCCACACAAATTTTACTGCGCGATCTTCTATACTCTTAAAATAATGTGAGGGAACCTGAACTTTCAATTTGGATAGGAAGTATAAGCGTTAACAAACTTTTCAAAGACAGATATCTTATGACTGCACCACCATTTCTCTTTATCGCCACCCCTAAACACAATGCATGGGATCTACGCATGCAGATATGAGGGCGCTGATTAGAGGAAGTAAGGCAGTTTGTTTACCGAGAGGTAACCATGTTAACCGTGTGTCTATTTAAGTTCACTGACGTCATCACCTATACAATGGGAGGCGGGGGTGGTTTCCATTAAATATGGCAGTGGAGAGAGAGAGGTTAATTGCATAGTTGTGGCTTCTAAAGGTCAATGTTTTGTTTACTGTCAAGTGTAATCGATTTCAATGACCACAAGAAGACTTTCTTGTTTATATCCGGCTGAGTCACAGAAAATACAACAAATAAATAAGGAACATTAACTGAGATTTCTAAATTTGTTTACCCCGAAGTGATTCCAATTCGAAACAGATTCCCAGTAACCCGTTCTAATCGTTAGATGCGACCTCGTGAATGGGGTGGTCCAGGGATTCTATAGTGAGAGTGTGAGTGAGTTTAGTTTTACGCCGCTATTAGCAATATTCCAGCAATATATACAGATTCCCAGGTAGTGAGGCTCGGTGACACGGTGTCATCGTAACCTAACTGTGTGAACAGTTTCTCATGATATCTATCAGGGGTTTGTTTCGTCCAGATTCTGTTATTTACACGTAGCCATCATATAGTTGAAATATCTTTGTAACGGGGTTAGAAACAACAAATAAATGTAAAAATAAGTTAATTACTGAATATTACACATTTTATCAATTAAAACACAACACACGAAACAGATGCGAATAAACATACATTGTAAAAGCGTGGAAATCACCGTATAAAATGAAAAAAGCATCTGCCCTGTATGTTCTGAGTGTCTATAGATATATAATGAAGGTGTATTCCATTTATATCAGAGTGTCAACTTAGTTTATACAGAAGCCGTCCCAGGACGCCCCTCCAAATCCATGTCCGATGCTCGTGGTATTGACAACTGGATTGTCTGGCCCAGACAAAACCAAATCCACAAAATTAAAACTAACTGTGACCATAAACAATACGTATAAACGGAAAAAAAACATGATATGGACTTACGAAGTGTATTGATCAGTCTGATCCCGTGAGTACACGCCAGAAAAGGCCGTTTTATGGCACACAAGCGTTCAAACCAGGACTCGTCATTCCTGTTGTTCATCTCATATCTGACTTGAAAACCCCAAGAAATTTCAACATATTTTGCTTTAAAAAACAAGACAGTTATTGCTCGGGATGCATTTAATTCGAAATTTAAAATAGTTAAATTTCACTTACTTAAGACACCTTTAGAAATCCTAATGTTTCAGTTCAGTAGTAGAAGATACGATTATAATTATGATTAATGTAGATGATGATGATGATGATGATGATGATGAAAAAATCATCATCATATACCAACTGCATTCATCGATGCTCGTGATGTCAAACACTGGATTGTCTGGTCCAGTCTCGGATATTTACAGACTGCCTCAGCAACATATCTCTATGATCTAGAATATTGCAGTAAGTGCAGCCAAAAAAACTTGTCGTAACGAACAAACGGCACATTTGCCTGGTTGAGATGGATCCCAATTGCGCACGATGCTACCTGTTGATGGATATCAAGGTTTGTCCTCATGGCTGAGTCCTCAGACAACATGTCTCTAATAACCGCGAATAAAGCAGACAAACAAAATGAAACACAAAATAAGCAAAAGGATATTTTGTTCTGTTGTATATCCACCGTCCCTGTTACATCACATTCATTACATCCAGTTTCTGTTATAAAAAAGACTTATAAAGTTTCAAACAGTGGAAATGACCCTGAAAATGCCTGACAATACGTTTTAACAGGAAGAGAAACAACACAGACAATATTTTTGTTGTTCGTATCGTTTTTCAGATTGCGCTACGAGTTCAACTTCATGTCAACATTACACTGTGTGGTATTGTTGACATGAAGTTGACTGACGCCTCTGCTATTGTGGCCTGGCCATTGCTGCCAGTACATTTGGCAGTACATTTGGCTGTACATTTACCAGTACATTGGCATGTGCAGTACCTCAACACGTATGCGGTATAGTTATTCTTTTAAAACCATAACAAAGCGATAATGACTGAAAACAACATTTGCTCATTCTAATTGTGATTCGAACCTGAAATGGTTAGCTGCATAGGTGGTTTATTACGTTCTACAATAGCCTGTCTAAGTTACCTCCCTTGCAAGGGCGATTTCCATTGCACAATGTCCAAAATGTTGCACTGATGTGAGCAACGTCCAGGCAAACTACACGGACAATACACTTATCAGTTTGTGTACAGATGTGAGAAGTTGTGCTGAGGTTTTCTGATTGTCTTCTTATTCGGTGAACATATATGTAACTATCTTCTATATTATAACCATTTCCGGGTTGCTTTTATGAGCGCTTAAGTTAATTTCGTCCAGCCCTATTCTTTTCGTTTATGAAAGAGAATGTGTCTATAACTTTTTAGAACATGTCAGTTAGAAATATTAAATTCTAAAATGTTTTGGATTTGTAGTTACTATGTATTGAGAGTGTAAACTTTATTTTGTATGCAGAATGTTGTTCTTCTTCACGGGTACCCACGCTACTACCGGCACCTAAAACAAAGCATGAAAGAATATAGTTTAAGTCCATTTTGTTCTAATCTATGATTCACATATTTTTATAATCAGTGAAGACGGTGAATCGAATTTGACAGGACTTGACAAGTTGTAAGTTACAATCTCTATCAGGGACTGGTGTTACCTACTCCCTTATCTCTCTACAATTATCATCTCATGAACTTACATACACTGCAAACCGTGAAGATCCGGGTTAGATCAAATTGGTCTTCAGCAACTTGCTTGTCATATAAGAGACAACTAACAGGATCAGATGGTCAGACTCACTGACTTGGTTGACACATGTCATCGTATCCAAATTACGTAGATTGATGATCATGCTGTTGATCTGTAAATAATCAAGTCTGGACCAGATAATCCAGTGATCAGCAGCATGAGCTTCTTTCTATGCAATGGGAAACATTCCTGGAGTTGCGCCCTCTTGCCCGCTTGGAGCGCTGCGGTAGTTACGGTTCAAGAGTAGCTGTCACTCTGATATTGGCATATAGGCCTATTAGCCAAGTCTAAACTCCAGCCAAGTCAGCGAGCCTGACCACTCGATCCTGTAAGTCGCCTCTTATTGAGGAAGCAATATTTCTATTTGTTTACAATATTTTCTCATTCAGCAACAATTTATGTGTTTTCAGCTTCCTGACACCATTTGTTTGCTCAGTCCTACAGGTGCCAACTTTCTCCTGATGGCTGAGACCAAGAATCCTGAAACTAGGTACTTCATTGCTAAATGTGCCAACATCGCATCTCTGAAGAAGTGCTGTGTTTCTGGCATCTGGGCCTGTAGAGACAGAACCACCTCTCAAGAACAGCCAAGAACCGTTCTATCTCAAGGCCTCCAAGAGGGTCACGTGGTGTTGATATTCAGTGTGAACAACTGCCATGGTTGGCATGGTTACTGTGAAATGATTGACAGACCTGGGGACTATGACCCAGATCACAAAGATGAGAAAGGCCAAGTGGATGGAGAATCAGGGGAGACAATTCAGTGGCATTATTTTCGAGTTGTATGGAAATGTTTATTTGTGAGTGAATTCAGTGACCAGTGTGTTCCGTTTAGGGAAACTGAGTTCATGCTTCCAGATGGTACCTCTGTAAATAAGTCAAGAAACTGGCAAGAGGTATCACCAAGTATTGGTGAGAAAATGTGCCATCTTATTGAAAAATTATACAGTGAATTGACTTCGAAACGTAAACAAAAAGAGGATGAAAAGCATGCTCAACTTCCACCTCCCTTCCTGGCATTAGATGACAGTGGGAGTGTGAAGGACTATTGGGCGAGTGTTGTTGAGAAGGTTGAGAGGGAGCTGGGCAGAGTTCATTTAGCATGTCCATTTGGAAGTCAGAGGTACGTGATATTTTGCTTTTGTGAAGGGAAATTTGACAGATTATGCTTTGGGAAGAGAAATTTGAGAATGAAATGACCTCTAAAACGCTTTACCACTGAAGCTGGTTAGCTGTACACTCAAGATACTGCTTGTTACTGTTTGCAAAATGATCAACTTGGTACAATGATTTTGGTTGATAAACAAAATATCACCATTGTGTCTTTTGATATCAAATATATCAATAATCAATGACAAAAGTTGAAACCTCCTTACAAGCCACAGAGTACTAGTATTAAACTTTAATCGACCCATGATGATATATTTCATGTCAACACACATTTTTTAAGAAAGTATCTGCTTTCAAAATGTAATATTTACAAGCTCTACCTTTCTGCTTACCACTAAAGAAAGTGCTAAATGTAGTACTATGTATCATAACACTTACTCACTCACTTTAGTGCAGGGTAATCTTTTGTTTTATCATTCTTCCCTTCAGATACAACCTGGATGGGCCCGAGAGTGACATTGATGTATTTATTGTGTATCAGGCTGACACTGCCAGCATCCTGGGCTTCAGGCCTCCAAAACAGACAATCAAGGTGGATGGCCAGTGACATGTCCAGGGTTATTTCCATAAGACACTTTTAAGGCTGAAGTAATTGTGTCACACCAGCAATCATGGTGCTAAATTTCATGTAAATTCTATAGTTTTACATTGATATAAACCATATCACATTGCTAACGGGATCGAATGGTCAGTTTGGCTGACGTGGTTCACACATGTCATCGATTCCCAATTGCACAGATCAATGCTTATGCTGTTGATCACTGGATTGTCTGGTCCAGACTCAATTATTTACAGACCACCGCCATATAGCTGGAATATTGCTGAGTGTGGTGTAAAACTATACTCGCTCACTCACTTGTTAGACAGGACCCATTTCTGTATCATTGGTTGGCTTCATCTTCTGAAGTACCAATATGTAATAATGGCATTTTTGCACAGTATGTTTGGGCCCAAAGTGTTGTCCAGCAAATTGTTTCTGGGACCTTTGGGCTTTCTAAACTGAATTATTTATTTTCACCTATGATCTGTGAACACAATGGCTAAAGGATATGAACTAAAGTGGTTCTCAGTGGGATTGTCAAAATGAGCATCAGTCAAAAGATGATTATTTCTGGTTTGTAACCATGGCAACAAAGTTAAGTCATGTGTAGACAACCCTTCCATTAAATCTGGACAGTCTTTAGTCATTCAAATTTACATTTCTCATCCTGAAAGAAATCAGTCTAACTGCATGTTTTAAATGACCAGCACACTGAAATGTTATAAAAATGTTCTTGACATGTTTCAGAACAGTGATAGAGAGCGATGTGACTACACGATTCTTGAGCTGCACCGGTACTGTGAGCTGCTGTGTGGAGGCGACCCACGGTGTGTGGAGACCCTGTACCTCCACCAGTCTACCATCATCCACAGCTCCACACAGTGGCGGCAACTCACTCAACTGGCTCCACTCATGCTGACAAGGTCAGTCACAGATTCATCTACAGGAACAGTCCATGTCCCTGAACCATATTCTTTCTCTTCCACCAGAGGCGGTGGGGTAGCCTAGTGGTTAAAGCATTGGCTCTGGTCCCATTCCTCACGTGGGTACAATGCGTAAAGCCCATTTCTGGTGTCGCCCTCTGTGATATTGTTGGAATAATGCCTTAAAGCGGCGTAAAACTGAACTCACTCACTCACTCTAGATCTTCCATCAAGCCCTTTCATTAATCGTTCCTTAAAACAGTCTTAGCCCTATGATTATCATAAGACTATGTCAACACACTGGAGTTAGGACCACCTTAGCACTAAGATTGATTTGTGGAATGGGTCCCAGATCTGCCACAGTTTCAGGATGAACGTGCCATCTCACTTGGGGCTTCTTTTCAGTTTAATTGGAGTTGGTCTGGTCCATCTGACAAAGGTTTTTTTCAGAGAATTAATAAAACAAATATTAATGTTTTGGCATTTGATTTGGTTTTCATAGACAATATTTAAGGATATCATAAAGGAGTCTCATCTAAAAGGGTCTTTTGCTGAACAAGTCATCTCAATTATTTATTTTACTATGATTTTAAATTTGATGACTGGTGCTCTTGCAAAATGGTGAATAATATGTATTAAAATGTTTATTCTAACAAAAATGCAATCAGTTTGATATATTTTTGTAATCATTCTTCTGTGATAGTGTGACATACCAATTTGTGTTTCATATATTTAGCAGCAGTACTAATCTGAACATTGGAAGTTGTTAAAAGGACAACCAGGATACCAAGTACAAATAAGTAATGTTTATTTGCTTAACTTTCTGTCAGTCCTTCAGCCAGAATTTTTTTGAGTGTTGCCAATTGGCATCTTAACTACTAACATGTGTACCAATGCAGTTGAGACTTATGCCATTCATGGTAACCATGGTATAGAAGACCTGTGGATTATATTAAATGTTGCGCCAATGGGCTCTCTAGCATTGAAAAAAAGTGCCATTGCATATTTTTTAGTGTGAATGGCACAATGGCGCAATGGCTCTTGCCTGGCTGAAGCACTGTTCTGTCCATATAGACCAACAGGGACTTGTAACGCTAAAAAATGCCATCAAGGTATAGTCTGTTTGATTTCATTTGAGATCTATGAATTGCTCACTAACACAAACAGTAATAAATGCAACAAAATCAAACTTTGCACAGTCACATGAAATCAATAGACCAACTCTGATGGCTTGTCTCATAATTTTGTACACCCGAATAAAAAAGTTGTTTAACACACAGTCAGTATTTTGTTGTCAAATTTCAATTTCACACGAACAACTCGCACACCAAACTGTTCTACCAGCAAGTGGTCCCCCCTTGTAAGAAATAGCGAAATGTGACAACAAATTAATGATCGTGTGTTAAACAACTGTTTTATTCGGTTGTCAAAAATTTTGAGACAAACCATGAGAGTTGGTCTGTTGATTTCATGTGACTGTGCAAAGTTTGATTTTGTTGCATTTATTAGATTTTGTGTTTGTGAGCAATTCATCGGTCTCAAATGAAGTCAAACAGACTATATGTACTGTCACTAACGGGGTCTCAGCACTATATAGAAGGAAAGGGATGTAACGAGGTCAACACACCAAGTTCGTTTCAGGGCGAATTCAACAATGCTCACTGTATTTATCCCATTTAAAGTATGCACACATTTCAAGCCAATAGATTTAGCTAAAAAACAAGACATACAGCACATACAAGCCCCTGTGTATAGACCTTTACTTCCCATCCCTAATCTTCAATGTTTTAAAATATTTTTCCTTTTTCTGATTTACCTATTGTTTTTATTATATATTCTTTACCACATGTAGACAATGTCTGGACAAGTATTTGCGAGATGCTCAGGGGTCAAATGGGGTTAAACAGTACAGGAAGTGGTGCGATGAAAACCCAGGTTGCAGCGACCTTCCAGCTAAAATCAACAAGCTCTGTTACATCATCATCAGACTGCTTCAGAATGCAAGGTATTATATTAAGGAGTATACTTCTGTTGATGAACATGATATTGGTAGTTGTTCTTGTAGTGCTGACAATAAATTGTAGCAGCAGTAACATCAACAGCATCATCTACCCGTGAAGGTCCGGGTTAGAATGATCCTTCAGTAACCCATGCTTGTCGTAAGAGGCGACTAACAGGATCGGGTGGTCAGGCTCTCTGGCTTGGTTGACACATGTCATCAGTTCCCAATTGCGCAGATCGATGCTCATGCTGTTGATCACTGGATTGTCTGGTCCGGATTAGATTATTTACAGACCGCCGCCATATAGCTGGAATATTGCTGAGTGCGGCATAAAACTAAACTCACTCACTCACTCCCATCTATCATCATCATCATCATCTCGAAACAGAGATAGGTTATCGCTTGAAGCCTAAATGCTTAATCGGTTAATGCTATTCATTGACAACCATAAGGCCTTTCAAAGGATTCATATCCTTTTTGAAAGTGTTTCAGTGTTATGAGAATACAATGTACATGGGTACAGTTGTTCAGGCAGAGACATATCAGAGTAAATAATCTGATTTCATTGAGATTTTAGTCATTTGTAGTATATTATCATATTTTTAGTTATCTGAAAAACTAAATGGATTTAGAATGATTTCAATTCTGATTGCCTTGAGTCTCAGTTTGGAGTAAAGTCAATCTTAAATCAATCTTGTCAGAGATGTGGTCAAGAAGGGGCCAGTCCATGTCTTCCGTGAAGAGGGGAGTGAGGAAAGGAGTGTCATCTTGTCTGTCCGCCGGGGGGAACTTACAGCCAGCCAGGTGTGGCAGAATATACTCAGGTAAGGCAGTCGAGTAGGGTTTGTAAATACATGTATATTTAAAAAAACATATATATATATACAATGTATATAGAAAAACTGAAAGATTTTATTATGTAAATTTCAGTGTACCAAAGTTGGAATATTTGCTAAGGCATAAACAGCTCTTCCCGATTTCAAAATGAAAGATGTCCATTGTCGTCAGCATGTTAAAACACAATTTCTATCATGGCTGTTTTCTCAAAGCAGGAAATAAAATTTTCATAGGTCAGATGTACTAGATATATGTGTGTAATGCCACCCCTATCCAAAAGAATCTGCAATGAAACCCAACTTACTGACTCATCTGTAGGTATTGTTGCCAAGTTTGGGGACAATATTATCATGCAGAGGCAGGTAATTAGTTGTGAGTACTGATGATTTTATGATTAATTTAATACAGTCTAATAATGTTTTTCAGCCTACAGAAAGAAATAGAATACGATCAGAATGATCTCACCACAGACAGTCCAGCATCTTCACTTGAGAAATGGCTTCTTCAGCAGAGATACTGTAATTTTACTGAGAAATTCCCTTTGCCCAAAAATAACGAATAAGGGGTGATAATGAGGTAAAATCATTTCTAGATATTATGACATTTTTATTTTGTAAATGTCATCCATAGGTGTTGATACAAACCATTTTTTTATGTCATGATGTCATAACTTGTTCACAAAAGTTTGAGAACCATCTGATGTGAAGTGTGTTTACATCCAGTGTTAATTGTATCCATACAGAATCCATATCAGAAAACAGGCACAGACCCACTATCTCATACTTGTTGTGAAAGCCTTTGAAAGTATTGCTGTTTAATGCTGCACAGAGCAATATACTTGTAATGCTGGTTCTAAACTTTCAGCTCACTTCAGCCTTAGTTTCAAGTTTTGCATGAGTTGCCAAGCTGACCCAAATCAATGAATATGCCAACACGACCTACCCATACTTGTACAGTGTACCACATAACCACACAGTCTGCAAAAGGCACAGGAACCTAGAATGAACACTGTGCTACTATGTACTTCTATTGCAAGAACATGTTGACTGGTAATGCAAAGCTTGTCAAACCTGTCTCTCACCTCCAATCAGTGTTCGCAATAACTGCCGGACCAGAGGCCCAGTGCTGGTTGTTATTGTATCGGGCCGGCAGTTTCAAATATTTGGAGGCCCTTGTGGCCTTCAGTAAATTATCTGCTAGGGTTTTTTGACTGGAATCTTTCCCATATTTTTTCTTTATTAATGTTTGGGAATCATCCATGATCCATCATGTTACAAGAACTTACAGGTTTACTTCCTGGTATTTCAGGATTGTCAACATCAGTCTTTAACAAATAAAAACTTTGCTGTGTGTCATAGGCTTCGCTAATTGATTTTGTATTGCAAACACTGCCTCCAATCCCACCTTCTCAAACAGCTTTAGTTAGTGAGTGACTGAAGATGAGCCCAAAGCAAGAGATCACTAATGTTGAGAAGGAGCCACATTGATGTAACCCACAACTTGGGTGTGCTGACAAACCAATATTCATAGTCTGGTCACATCCAACCCACAGTCAGGAGCATTCATGGCAAACTTGTACCATACCCAAACAAGGGCCCAACCAAACCCTGTAGGTTAAGAGAGGATACAAGTAGTAATTAAATAACATGAAATCTTGCGGAAAAGGGATATAACTCTTCACCCTGAAATGTTCCATCTTGAGTGAGTGAGTTTAGTTTTACGCCGCACTCAGCAATATTCCAGCTAGTCTGTAAAGAATCGGATCTGGACCAGACAATCCAGGAATCAACAGCATGAACATCGTTCTACGCAATTGGGATATGATGACGTGTGAACCCAGTCAGCGAGCTGTTCCATCTTGAACAAGAAACTATTAATGCCCCATCACTCACTAAAAAAACACAAACTCACACTGGAATTCATAAATATATATATTTACAATAGCATGAGTCAGATGAGACTGTTCTTTATCACACACGCATATTCTCATTTTATTACAGAATATTTACATTTCTATGTGCAGTATCTTCAGTATATGTACATACCCACATGATGAGAAGTGCTGGTATCAATTAAATGATACTTAGTCTGTTATTATTTCCCCTTATTTGTGTTCATCATAATTCTTCTATGCATTTATTTTCAAGCCAGTGAAAATGGCAGATATTACCATCTGTGACAGAGGTACTGATGAAGAACATCATTTTCTCAGTTTCACTCAAAAACGAAAACAGCAATAACTGTTATTTCACATGAATATGGTTAACAAGCCATGTGCATATATTATGCCATTTACAGTTTTACAAATTATGATGTATGTAATTGATAATCTGAATAAATGTGTAAAATGTAATTTCTATAAAATGTTTCAAAGTACAAATATATATGTAACAAGTGATAAAACTGATGTACAAAACAGTGTACAATACAAGGTGTAAATTTACTGCAAAATCAGCAGAATTAGACGTCTGACACTTTACAAGAGAATTCAAATCTGTTGTTTTACAGGTTGAATTAAATCCCAAACATTTCAGTCCTCCCAAATGTAAACCTGCAAAAGTTTATCCCATATTGACAATTGCCACGCAAACATAGCTCTGAAAAAACAACAACATCCAAACTGGTTGTTTCACATCTTGCACATGTCCAAACATTACACAATGACTGGTTTCTTGCTGCCAACATTCTGATATTCTGTGTTGTACATCTTGGGTGCGGTCATAACAGACTTGGTGCCGGCATTAGGGAGGGTGAAGGGCGTGTCAACTGGGCAGTAGAAGTTCTCCCTCATCCGAACATGTGATGGACGTATGTACAAGTCTGAGTATTCAGTCTTCAAGCCCCTGGTCAGTGAAAAAGATAAACATTACATCTCTGCCTCTGTTAGTATCACCTGGGTTGGTTCTACAAAGTGATCTTATCGCTAAAATGATGGCACACACATACTTAAAGGCACAATGTCACACATTTTCAACAATATTTGGCCTATATTTTATATATAGGGGGCATATGCACTCATTTTAGCTTCCTATTGATACAATGAAAGACTTATTATCCCTTAACCTCTGACTTGCCTTTCATGGTGTGGCGTTCAAGACTTCGTGATTGGAGACAATCATTGACCATTCGCATGGCGATAGATTGAAACTTTCGACAGGCTCATGTTATGGCGGATCAGTGGCGCGTCTCTACAGTTTCCAAACAGACAACTAAGTCGATGTAACTTGCCATTTGTGGTATGTAACACCATTGAAAGACTCTCCATTACGACTTGCCTGAATTCGATAATTGAAACTTCGAAGGCTTAACAGTTTCAAACAGACAACACTTGCCATTTGTGGTATGTAAACCATTTCTCCGTGCCAACGCGGTGTTGTCGGTGTTTGCCCAACTGGTTTCAATCACTAGTGGTGCGTAGGATATTTCGTAAAGAGCGCTCCAAGGGACATAACTCTATGGGGTTTGCTTGACATAATGTTCAGCTGGTTGAGGGCGCGAGAGTCGATTTAATGCAACGTTGCATTAATTCATTCAAACTTTATAATTAAATATTATAATCAATATTGTTATACATAATTATTTTTTGAATAAATAATATGGTAGCTTCCCTGAGGGCTGATAGTTAGTATTATTGCGAGAAATGCATTCCCTTTTTTAGAGACGTGTGGTGTGACATTGTGCCTTTAATTATTGACCTCATGCCAAGATTACACAGCAGATTACACTGATGGAAACTATGCTAGTGCACTTCAAGTACAATTTGTACCATTTCCAGACTTTATCAATTGTCATTTGAATTAAACACATGCTTAACACATTTGGAAACCACTTGTTGAAGCTTTGACTCTGTGTGAATGATATACAGGTACTTACGAGTGAGGTACTGGCACCATTGCTTTGGGCTGGCGTGGGATCTTTGTAGCTGTAGGGAACATCATGGTGTCTCTCATTGGGAGGGGCTCTCGTGGTACAGAATCTTTAGGGAATGGACTGGAAGAAAAGTCAGTGTTGTGAAAATGTGTCTGTATGTCATATATTTATTTTATACATAAGTATGTTAAGCCATTTACTGATCTGTTTGTACAAATGGTGTGCATTACCCATATTTTATATGCTGCTTGGATCCAAAACTACATAAACAGTGTGATATTCCAGTATTGTTTAACAAACCCATTACTTGTTACTTCAATGTTCTACACTTATTAATGTAATTTCAGAAATTACTCAGTGTTTCTTTCCTAATTTAACAAATTATAATTCAAATGAGTGAGTTACCGGTAAGTTTAACACAGTGCTTCAACAGTATTTCAGTAATCATGTTGCAGTATGTCAGTGCACTGGAGAACTCAGTGTTTGTTGTTAGTAACAAAGGACCTTGTAAGGTAAACATAGCAGCTACAAGATAAATGGTCACTACCAGGGTGATAGTACTATATAAAAGGGTCCTTTCATATAGAATTATGACACTGGTAATGACATCATGCAACTTTCATGTTGTACTATGACACTGATACTGGCCATCTATTTAGCAATATTCCAGAATATCAATGCTACACCAGAAATGGGCTTAATTGTACTACCAAATACTGGCCAGTATCTTGAATTGTGGGGCAAAAAGATGTATGTTTTACCGATACATACACATTTGGTGCTGACAAACGAAAGTTCATAATCTGACTGAATCTTTCATTCAAACTGACAAGCAGCAACTCCTGACTTCAAAGGGACATAACTCTGCATACAAATTACAATGCCTGAGGCACTCGGGTTCTTGTTTCCCTTGATAATGCATCTATAATCTCAACCTTCATCAAAATAAAATCAAAACATAAAATAACATTTTAACAAAACCGTTTTTTTGTTTATACTGTTTTGGATGAGTATATCCATCACCAGAACTCACTTGTGTTTGAGACCATGGCCCCAGGATTTTGGCATGTCCTCACACTGCCAAGTTGTTGCTATGTCTTTCTTGGGATATTTCTTGAGCTCATCAGGTTTGAACGAACGATGATCTTTCTGAGTGGTGGATAAGTAGGGGTCAAGCAGGGACAGCACACCCTTGTCTCGGACGTAGAATGGCTTGCCCTGGAGCTTGGGATTTTGTGTAGTTGCACGGCCATACTGAAAGAGAAATTTACAAAAATAATTTAGGTGAGCTGCCTGTGTGAAGAGACTGTAGCATGACTGACAGTGTTATACTTCTGGCTATAGACAAAAGAAAGTTCTGATTGTTGAAGTAATTTTCAATCTGAAGAAAAGGACATCCAGTTATTTAATATCATGACTTCAGTAAAGGAAGGAAAAGAATTCTGGTGAGGTAATTCTGAGCATGTATAAACATTTTATTAATACTTTAATTCTAAGAACATGAGAAAACCTTGTCATCAAACCATTTGTTATTTTGTTTATTAAGCTATAGTAAGAATGCTTTATGTATAATAAACGAATGGTTATCAAAAGAACTTGATTTTATTTTCACACTGATTTGTCTACATAAACTGTTTTGGCAGCTTTTCTCTTAGTATTACAAAAGCAATGACTGTCAACTGTATTGCCCAAACACTGTTTATTTCGAACTTCAAACTTTGCTAGGAGTATCAACATTTTATTGATGAGTGGTGATATATTTGACACCAAAAACAGCAGGGTGATACTCTATTTGTCATCAAAACTTATTCTTCACATAAGACAAACCTTTGAAGGCCCCTCCTTATGATGATCTTGTAGAATAAAGTTTTGGGGTCCAGCAAAATCTTCAAAGTGGTATTTCTCCCTGATACCAGAGGCAGCACAGAACTTATCCTGGGTCTCACTCTGCTGGTTTCCCATGGTGAGGGGTCTCCGCCATCCACCCTTGCCCAGCTGAAAGATTGAGAAATAAGGTTGCTAATTTACATGCAGGACTATGAAGAATGTATATATTGACAACGAAGAACTGATGTCTAACATATCAAATACCATTCAATAATTTCATGTAACAACCTGATCAGTGACATTCATTTTAACAAACATATATTTTTCAATTACTTCAGTAGAAATAACAGTTGCTTCCATAACCTTTTTTGTAAGCATTTGTGCCGGGGCAATAAAATTTGGAAGCCATATATCACTTGTGCATATCACTTACCAAAATGGCAGAAGGTGTCCAGGTGTATAATTAATTATACATTCTCACATAACTCTATTTTCTGTTACTTAATAAATATATTCTATGAATGTGAAGTGTTCTAACCTTCTCAGCAACATCCTTGACATAATTCACTTTCCAGTGTCCTGGAGCTTTATTGTGAACAGTGTTGGCAAACATCCCTCCAGGGTATTTTCTGTCATGTGCATTTCCATAAGTTGTCTGGAATATTTGATCTCTTGTGATTTCATCTGGTTTTGCAAGGTCTGATGGTAATGGTTCTCTCAACTGTGTCTGCAAACATATAACATACTGGTACAGATATAGCAACATTAGTTTTTTGGCAGTTAATACAAAAAGACATTTTGAAATTGACAGTTAGGGAGTGGTCATTTTTAAAGGGGTTGTGGCTAGTGGGAATTAGGCCGGGATGAGAGTAGCTAGCCAATTGTCATTTATCTCAAGTAAAATCAATGCCACATCACTACTGGCACACCAGTGGAACAAGTAATGAGTTCCTGCAATCCCTGAGGTTTTCTACCAGTATTACAATATTTGGAATTGTTCGCTAGGATAGTGTGCCTTTTGCGCTTAATCTTGAAGCACTGCAGACGTTATTATTTATTATCACTTTGTCTTATAAAGTACCCTAATGCACATTTTCTATGGTATATAATAAAGATAGGAACACATTTCGTGCATCTACCCATTACGTCCATGGTATAGTCATACCATACCATCATATCTTTGGCTAATCATACAATAATTTGACCTATTTTGACAGTTGTATGATTATAAAGGGTTACCTGAAATTCAGAATTGGGAAAATAATATCCCGGCCTGTAATGATGGCCAACACCTGCGCTCGTTTCATGCCAATCTTGTCGCCTCTCACTATTCACTTCCTTGAACTCGCTCATTTTTCTGGTATATTTGTCTTCCTTCCAATGAGATAGTGTTCCGTTTACATTGACTGCTCTTTAGATACAACACAGTCGCTCCATGTACAACTCTTCCTTGGCAACGATGTAAACACGAAGGCATTGTGGGTAACCTTCGGAAAACTTCGGACAAACACGCAGGGATTACAAAGCTCTATTACAGCACGTACAACCGTCACAAAGATCTCTTATGAATTACACTGAAGTTGGTCGCTGTGTGGAGTTACGCGCCCCCAATCGTTTAAACTGGTTTTCTGACCTGAACGTTATTGTAGGAAATTCAAAAGGGGAAAGGGACCCAGTTTATTCGCATTTGGCATTCCGAGACTTAAAATATATTGTAAAAAATCCGAATGATTATAAGGTAAGTAACTCTACTTATCTAATCTTTTACCGCCGACCGCTAAAAATGTACGCAAAATGCTAGTATTTCTATTTTATACATAGCTCACCGGAATAAAATGGTCAAGTGAGTTTGGGGTATGGCAAACAGAAAACAAAGCTATAGGGCAAAAGGGCAGCACTTACTACTGACTTCTCCCCGAAGACTGGATTGACAGTAGTGAAAGCAGGTAATTGAAAGATTTAATTTAAAGCAACACACATTCCCCAAACACTTTCCAATGCTTCTGTGAGAAATATCTAACGACAGTGGTCTCATTTTTATAAATGTCTACTGCCTAAGATATCACCAATACGTGCTTCAGGTTTGTTGAAAGACACACTTTATAGTTAGTAACTGGTGGGTGCTGATATTTTGTTGGTTGGTTGGTTGGTTATTTAACGCCGCAGCAATATTCTAGCTAAGATACATAGCGTTCACTGATTATGAACAGCGTTCGTCAGTGAACGCTATGTATCTTAGCTACAATATTCTAGCTATATGGCCTCGATCTGTAAATTATTAGGTCCGGATAAAGCCCATTTATGGTGTCCCCCGCCGTAATATTGCTGGAATATTGCTAAAAGCAAGCAGCGTAAAGCCCAACTCACTCTCTCGATCACTCACTCAAGTCTGTACCAGGCATCCAGTGATCAACAGCATGAGCATCTACCTACGCAACTGGGAATCAATGTCAAGTCAGGGAGCCTGACCTCCCGATCCCGTTTGTCGCGTCTTACAAGAAGTTTGGGTTGCTGAAGATCAATTCTAACCCCGATCTTCACGGGTATGATATTTTGTTGGGATACGTAAAGTTCCACAGTACCACAACGAAACACTGAGTGTCCTTCGTGGCCATTAAATCACGAAAGTATCTTCTTGCTCCAAAACTGGAAAATGCTGGCAACACCGTGCTGCTTTAATAGCTGAACATTTCACAACACAACGTATTCGGAATATATTCGGAGCAACAGTACCTTCGCGATATTTTCCACAGAATCAAATATACTCAAAGGCAAAAGTTATTGTGATTGGCTTGAAGTTAGATATGTGAATTAACAACATTTATTTTTATGAGACGTTTTGAATATTGCAAGAAAATAATTTCCACAATAGGACTACAAATGGCACATTTTAAACTTTTCTGGAGGACACATGCTAATGAGGTCACAGTGAGAGAACGGTCAAAATTAAATTCACAGTCAATAACCTGTATGTCCTCAATGACCGTGGAAGCATGTTTGACACATGCGCCTCATAGAGCCAATCAAACGTCGCAAGAAGTCTTGTGGAATGGCATTTCGTATCTGTGGAAGCACCTGGCAGAGTTCCGAGAGTGACTGGGGGATTTGACCAAGGTCTCAAGCAAAGGTATACGCCCAGCACTCGTTATCCCACCCCAAAGCATCACTCCACCGCCACAAACGGTCGGCCTCAAGGACACATTTCCTAACAACGCTCACCAAGTCGCCATCTGCGCTGTGCAAGAGTGAGTGAGTTTAGTTCTACGCCGCACTCAGCAATATTCCATCTATACTCATGGTAAAAAGTTAAGCAACACCTGTTAACTATGATGAATAACTGACGAAATGTGTTTTGTTGAGCCAAACAATTGTTACTGAAATGTAGCACCATCAATAACTCTCCACGAAACATGCACAATGTTCACGATCATGCACGAGATTTCCATGTGTTTGCATCACGTGGGAGCCAACGTCATTAACATGGTTTTGTCACTTGTAATTTGAAATTGAAACTGATATTCAGAAACATCAGAATGGCCCAGCTGTTAGATGGAAAATTGTTGGCATGCGTGATGCTGGTATGCCCTTACGTCAAATTGGAGTTGCTGTTAACCTCCATTACAGTGTAATGAGCAGACTACTTTCAAAGTACAGAAATACTGGTGATGTTGAGGATAGACCCAGATCTGGTCGTCCGAGGAAGACCACTGCCAGGGGAGACCGTTATCTACTGGGCTTGGCTCGAAGAAATTCCTTTCAAATCAACTCAACTCAACTCAACAATGGCAACAAGTGACTGGTGGAACTCGGGAAACGGTGAACAAACGTCTCGTTTCCGGTGGTTTGAGGGCAAGACGGCTCCTCAAGCGTCCTCGTTTACTCCCTCACCACAAGCAAGCTCGTTTGGAATGGGCCCGTCAACGACGTCGTTGGAACCTGCAAAGATGGCGTCGTATCATATGGACGGACGAATCCCATTTCAATCTTCACGTTGCTGATGGTCGCTTGCGCGTCATAAGGACTGTTGGAGACAGATTGAACCCCAGATGTGTTCTGCCAACTGTTGTTGGTGGTGGGGGATCTGTAATGGTTTGGGCTGGCTTCACGTATGACCATAAAGTTGACATCAAAGTTGTTCAGGGATCAATGACAGGTCAAAAGTACCTCAATGACGTCATTAACAATACAATTATGTCTTCATTCATGCCAGTCCAAACAGACACTGAATCCTCCAAGACGACAATGCACGTCCTCACCGCACAGGCATTGTACAGGACGCCAAAAATCAGCTTGGAATTGAATCTTTGGAATGGCCCAGTGTCAGTCCAGACCTCAACCCCATAGAACATGTTTGTGATGAGATTGGCCGCAATATTACCAGACGTGACAATCCTGTTGACAACTTGAATCAGCTCAGAAACGTCATAGTCCATTAATGGAACAATTTGCCAATGCAATCTCTTAAAAGGTTCGTTCGGTCAATGTCCAACAGGTGTGCATCTGTCATCAAACACAGAGGAGGATACACTGAATACTGATTGCTTCCTGTACTCTTAAACAGTGCTCGAGACAGTCAACTGTTTGTTCCTTGCACCATTTCTCTTTATTCCTTTCAAACGTAAATCTTTCCTTCACATCGATTCCAAACATGTACAGTGATGAAATTTGTTGTTTTTCACTTACATTTTGTTGTGCTCTCAATAAACACAATCACGTTAGTAAATGTTGTCTTTTGTCTCATACTTCGGTTTCATTGTCATTTCCTTCGTGTAGGATACAAAAACCAAGCATGCCAAAAGTCTCCACCCAGCTACAATAAATACTATTTGTGTCATCATTTATCAAAATATGGGTGTTGCTTAACTTTTTACCATGAGTATATATGGCGGCGGTGTGTAAATAATCGAGTCTGGACCAGACAATCCAGTGGTCAACAGCATGAGCATCGATCTGCGCAATTGGGAAGCGATGCGCTGTGCTAGAGGAGTCTGGACGAGAAGAGAACATGTCTCCACTCAGGTGCTCCCCAACGCAGATCTCGGCACTACTACAGTTGTAGGCGTTGGTGACGTAATGTCAACATTTGTCGTCTGGACTTCTTGTATCCCGTGTGCAACCAGACGCCGGCGATTGGTCCTTCGCGACATCCTGTTGACACCAGGAACTGTTCGGGCTGACAGTATGGCTGGGTTGAATCTTTGGTGCAAATGGGTGGTTCGAATCCAACGATCGTTGCGTGGCGTGGTTACAGTTGGACGGCCACTTTGGGGACGGTTTGCAACGACGGCCGTTTGTTGGTAACGTCTCCACAAGCGGCATATTGTGTTCATGTGCACGTTAAACTGTTGTGAAACGTTGCGCTGGGATTATCCGGTTTCAAGCATTCTAATGGCTCTCCATCCTTACTTTTCAGTTGGCCGTGGCATAGAGAAATGCAAGCAGATTCTTCCAAATCTGTGTTTTTCGGACCCATCGACGTTTAAACAATAACAATGGTTCGAGGTTTAGAGACACACTTTTTAAAGGGCATGTTTTGTATTTTACTTCTTGAAAGCACGACAAACGCATACAAAACAAAGACTAGCGACAGGGCCCTGTTTGGGTTATGGATTAAGTGTATTATAAAGAATATTAAAATGCGTTATAAACATTTTCTCCTTTATATAAAGAAATGTGTTGATCACACTAGTGAGTGAGTGAGTTAAGTTTTACGCCGTACTCAGCAATATTCCAGCTATATGGCGGCGGTCTGTAAATAATCACATCTGGACCAGACAATCCAGTGATCAACAGCATGAGCACGATCTACGCTATTGGGATACATGACGTGTCAACCAAGTCAGCGAGCTTGATCACAAGAAATTTTGCCTTTGAGTATATAATAACCATACTGGTATAGATGGTGGGATCGGATAAGAGATTCTCCCTGATCATGCGACCAACATTTTGGTCAGCTCCTAACTCGTGGCTGGGGGTTAAAAGAGGTGAAAAGTATAGGACCGGGATCATCTTGGGCTTTCTCCTGTGTTCAGACTGTCGTAAAACACAGCTCACTCACTTGAACTCTTCACGTGGTCAAAATCACGACAAGCGTCAAAACTCCCCTTTTTGTTGTATCAAGCACGTGTTGTAATCAGTCAACGTGTTTGACAGAAAGAACCATACAAGTTGAACTAAAAGAAAACACAGTATGGTCGTACCACCATCATCGATCAGAAATGTATGTGTGTGTGTGTTGTTGTTGTTGTTGTTGTTTGTTCTGTTTTGTTTGGCTTTTTCTTTTTTTCCCCTTTTTACTGTTGTTATTCCTTCGTTTGGGGGTTTATTCTTTTTTGGGGTTGGTGGCAAGCTTGTATTTAATCTTTAAAATAATACATTGTCTTCGAAACCAAAAACTGTAAGGAAAAAATACTGCTCACCATATATTATATACTAGCCACATAAAGAAACTGTGCATTGTCA